GTTCACTTCTAGCAACTTAATCATGGCTTCATGATTAAGATGCTTTATCATCTCATACCAAATCTCATCGGGGCCTGGGGACGTTCCTCTACAGGCTTCTAGGGCTCGGACAAGCTCATTCATTGTTAGATCTTTATTATAATCAAAGTTATCTCCTGTGGCAAAGTGTATGGGTTGCAGCTCAGCCGCTTCCTTGATGGTCAGGAATGCGGGATGGTAGTTGTCTGAGCTGCTTGTATAAGAGAACTGCCTGGCGAGTGCAATAGCGATGTCTCTAGGTGAATCTAAATTGGTACCCTCATGAATGTTGTTTTTAATTTTGAATGATGTCTTTTTTCTATTGATTTTGTTGACAGTGGACCAAACCTGTGATATTTTGGTGTTACTATTGATGGTAGAGACAAAGCTTCGCTTCGCTTGTCTGATTGTTCTACGAGCCCTAGCTCTTGCTAGTTTATAATTGCAAAAGTTCTCGTTAGTGATGTTATTTTTGAAAAGCCTGTAGGCCCTATTGCGTTCACACAGTACCCTGCGGCAATCTGGTGTCCACCATGGAACTCTATGCTTAACGCTATCTGTCGAAGTCTTAGGAATGGATTTTATTGCTGCATCTAAATAGAATTTTGAATATTGCTTACTTTATCATCAATGGTTTCTCCAACAAGTTCGAGCTTGACGCTCCTTGTGAAGGCGACCCAGTCTGCTCTTTTTACGTTAAATTTAGGTGCTGAAGGCGTTCTGGTTGTGTTGCATGAATATTTAATAAAAATAGGAAAGTGGTCGCTTCCCAACGAGTCGTCAATGGTGTGCCACAGGCACTTGGCTGCTACTGTTGAGAGACCAGAGATAGGTCAATAAAGCTCAAATTACCGGTATTATCGTCCACTCGCGTTGGACTACCATCGTTCAGAAGGATTAAATCTGAATCGTTAACAAGCTTAACTACTTGCTCACCTCTACCATCCACCCGCAGGGAACCCCATAATGTATGATGAGCATTAAAATCCCTAAAATTACTTTATTTGTGGCAGACTATCCTGAAGAGCAAAGAGCTCATCATAAATTACCACATTGTCAGGTGGACAATAAACTGAACATATAGCCAGATACGTGCTATTGACTTTTACTTTGCATGCGACTATCTCCAAAGTAGAATCTATAGTCACTTCTGTAAAAGGGAGGTTTTGGTGATGTACATGGCGACTCCGCCTCCACCCCTACCCTCTCGATCCTTCCGACATAGATGGTAGTAACTCAACGAAACTAAATCATCAGTAATAAGTTGTTTAAATGTGTCTCTTGTAGGACGATAATATCGGGAGCATAAGACGAGGCTAATAATCTAAGATCATTTACTCTAATTCTAAGACTTCGACAGTTCCTTTACGTTTTATTGGAAGTGCCTTGGGGGAGGCGCCTCCTCTCCCGAGCTTCCCGGGACCTCTCGCGGGAAGATTTGGAGACAGAAGCCTCCATGTCCTGCGCCTCTCTGCGAGGGAGACGGCTGGCAGAGTGCGATCTGCTCCTCTCTCGAGAAACGGATCGAGAGCCAGGCGAAGTCCTCACAGGAGTCGCCCGGACGGGGAGGTGCGATACGGACTGTGATCCGGTATCAGCTTCCTTAAGATGTTTTGGCTGGGTTGATTCAGCCATTTCATCGACCAATTTAGTCAGCTGATATACTTTAATATTTAATTCTCTGACAGTTTCTTTTAATTCAGCAATTTCTTTATCTTTAGCTGCAAGCTGTTGACTAACATTACTTGCACTAAGAGTGACTTTAGTTACTGCTGAAGCATAGGAAGTATCGGGTTTGTGTGTCAAACTTTCAACTTTCCTCTTAGCTTCATTATAACTAACTTCATGTTTCCTCATATATGCCAATGTCTCAGTCTCCTTCTTCAGGCTGCTACACTCGGCAGAGCCTGATTGATGGGGACCTCCACAATTGGCACATCTAAGAACAGTACTTGTGCATGTAATGGTGTCGTGGGCTTCAGCACATTTACGGCAAGTGAATTTGTTAGTATCTTTGTCAATACATCTTAATGAAGTGTGTCCGAATTTTTGGCATCTATTACAGTGCATTGGCTTTTGAACGTAAGGTCTTACTTGAACACGTTCATATCCGACATTGACATATTCGGGGATCTTGTTTAAAGCAAAGGTCAAAAAACACAGTCCAGTTTTCGTTCGCACATTCCCGTCCTTCTTGGTCATACAATGAACGTCCACTACGTCTTGGTCCTTCATGCTCTCGAGAATTTCACTTTCTTCCATCGTCCTCAAATCCCTGTGAAAGATTACTCCCTTACAGGTATTTGGGCCAATAGGAATAGTTACTTTAACTCGGAGATCATGAATTTGCGTCAGCTTAAGTAAGTCCTTAATCTGGGAGTTGTATTGCACTTTAACAAGGAGGCTTCCATCTCGCAATTTTCGGACAAAATCAAAATCGCCGTCCACTGACCATCAAGGACCTTTTTGATGATAAAGGGGTTCACGTTCAAAAGCGATTGATTTTCATTTACGCATTTAACATTCGCGAACCTTGCATTCTTTGGAGGGATTTGTAAAAGTGGTCTTCTGGGTCTGTCAGTCGGGGTTCCATTGTTCATAGTCGAATCGGTCGAAGATCGGTCATGGGTCGTCCCAGCTCCTTGAGGAGGAGCAGGGGTAGCCGGGGGAGCAATCATACTGGGTATCGGACCAAGTCCGACCCCTGGGCCCTTGCCCTTTGTCCTGAAGGGACCAGAAAAACCCTTAACTATTGTTAACCACCCTAACAGCAATAGCTAAGAGAGTATGGCAGTTTTCCGTCCTCTACCCCCTCAGTGGAAGCCTGGTTGCGTTCTCCAGTACCACAGAGGGATCGAGTTATGTGGGGGACACTTCCCTACCGCCGAACTTGCCGAAGCGAAGGACGGTAAGTCCTTCGCCCGAGGGACCTCCGGTAGGCTCAGGAAAGTCACATGAAGAAGGAAGTGGTCAGAAATTAGAAAAAGTGCGCCCTAATGACGCCCCAGACTGCTGGGCCTCCCTACCCAGGGGTCAATGCCCGTGAGGGCTACCCTGATGTAGAAGAGAGCTGCGGGTCTGAGGAGGGGTGCCGACTACGCCTACTGTAGTCTCGTGTCACCTGCAAACGCAAAGCACTGAAGGTGCAGGCAAAGCACAAAGTGCACAAAGGATCTGTAATTACAGGTTTTACTCTGTATTTTAACTTTGAAAGAACTCAGAAGCAACAATGTCAGGTGAGACAAGAGGCCCCGGTCTCCAGGGTAGCTCTGTGGCACAAGACTGTATTTGTTGCTGCTGCGTTAAGGAAGGTGTGAACCATACAAAAGCTCATACACGAGTGATGTGACCTTGTCTTGGCGGAACGAGGGGTATATATGCAGGTAATTCCCGCCATTTCCAAGACGGCGCGGACTCGTTTGCATACTTGAATTGGCGGACTGCGTCTTGAGTACTGTTACGGCGCTTTTGCTCGTTCCTGCTTTCACTACAACACGCACACACACACACACACGCACACACACACACACACATATATATACATATGCATACACACACGCACATAAGTACCTTTCCGTGTGTTAGTGTAAGTGCATGTTGTCGTGCGTGCGCGGTTTTGTGTGGGTGAGAATTGTGTGACCTCTACCTTATTGCTGATTTTATATTAAAGGATATGTGATCAATTTTATTAATTCTTTTGCCAACCCTCAGATTTATTTCTAGTATATATAAAAATGGAATGTGTATTTTTGAAGTTCATGTTCATGCCGTAGCAGACTGTCGACTACCATGGATTTATCTAAATCATACACAATACTAACCTATGATCAGTAGCCTAATTAAAAGGTTTTGATTGGCAGAAGCAATTTGCCGTTTAACAAGCAAATTGTGTGTCGACTTCCAGGGGTTCATTAAGTCTGGATATGCACATAGTGTCATTCTTGATTTTTTTCTTTTTCTTTTTTATAAGATGAACAGTGATAGATCTTATTGATCGCAAGGGGAAAGAGAGAGAGAGAGAGAGAGAATCCTGGCCTCTAAGAATGGCTAAGTCAGCTTGGAGATCGTCTCCCTAACTTCAGTTAGGGAGTGTGGATTCTCATTGATGTATGGGTCCGGTAACGAAATCACGGCGCTCGCCACATCCAAGTTAACTGTTGGTGGGTCAACCCGGTACAACTGCTCAAAATACTCAGCCCAACGCTCCTGCACCACAACAGGATGAAGCAACCGTATATATATATATATATATATATATATATATATATTATATATATATATATATATACATATATATATATATATATTACACATATATATATAGATATATATATAGATATATATGATATATATATATATATATTATATATATATATATATATATATATATATATATATATATATATATATATATATATTATATATATATATATATATATATATATATATATATATAATATATATTATATATATATATTGGTTGCACCACAACAGGATATACTGTATATATATATATATATATATATATATATATATATATATATATATATATATATATATATATATATATATATATATATATACACACACACACACACACACACACACACACACACACACACACACACACACACACACACACACACACACATATATATATATACATATATTGTGGAGGTT